CTCACCCCTGCCCAGCCCTGTCCTCTCCCCTCCCCAGCCCTGTCTTCTCCCTTCCCCAACCCTGTCCCCACCTCTACCCAGCCCTGTCCTCACCCCTGCCCCAGCCCAGGCTGTGACCCCTGCCTGCCTCTGGGGCACCTCCCCGAGTCCTTGTGTGCCTCCCACCCTCGTCATGTGACCACTGCCCTCTGTCCACCGCTGTGTGATTAGCTTGGGGTCAGGAACATCTCTGCCCAGAGAGGTGCAGCCGAGGACCATGCTGAGGCTCAGAGAGTGCAAGTCACTTGCTCAAGGTCACACAGGGTGTGTAGGGACGAAAGGTAGAAACCCTTTTTTAAGAAAAATAATATTTCCATGCTTCCCGATTGACGCCGTTGGCTCTGAGCAGTTCTGGGGTGTCCAAGCTTGTCCAGAATGGAGCCCGTCTCCCTCCCTGTGCCCCTCCAGACAAGATTTACTGGAGTCGAGTGAACCCCAGTTCAACCCTGTTCCCAGGTTGTAAGTGGTCGTTCCGCTTCAGACATTTAACTAAAAGCCCTTTCAGAGCGCCCGCTCCTGCCGGCCGGCTGCCAGCAATTAATGAGAGATGGAGAAATAATAAAAGGTGTCATACATTAACTATATTATCCCTGCACATCAGGGCCTCGTCCCCATCTTCTCCTCCCTGCGGACCTTCTCCAGCAGGGCTGGACGCGCTGCCTCACCGCTGCCGCGGCCCAAGCTCCCCACGGTAGTGGGCTCCAGATGCCCACGCCTGGCTCCCCACCTCTCTGGTGGCGGTGCAGCGGCAGCGGGCACGGCACGACCTTCCTGCTTGGCTGGGAGAGGGAGCGGGAAGGGACGGGGATGGCAGGTCTCACCAGTGGACGCTCACCTCTGGAGGACAGGGGTGCAGCCGGCCTCCTCTGTCTCGCTGAAAGAAGGGTTTGGTGCAGAAGCTGGGGTCTGTGTCGCCTGCTCTCCAGGCCCCGTCCCTGTGGGCCAGGCTGCACTGCCCGGGCCTGGGGCCTCACACCTCGCTTGTCCGTGCCTCTGCTCTCCCTATCTTCCTCAAACCACGGGGTCTGGGTTACAGGAGAGTACTGCTCCTGGGCTAGGCCCTTCCCTACCCAGACAGGGGATGCTGTCAACTAGCCAGCTCTCTGATGGCTCCCCTGCTGCTGTGGTGAAAGTCAGGTGACACGGTCCTGACCAATGAGATGAGAGCAGAAGTAAGGCTGTGATTCTGGAAACTTCCACTGGCCTGACACAGCAGGCCCTTTCCTCCCTTTGCTTCTTTCCCTTCACTCTTCTCCATGCCTGGAGCCTAAGCAGCTGTTACTTCTGGGAAGGTGGCCCATCCCCTACAGCCATCAGCTGAACAGGATGGGAGCCCTCAACTGGGGAGACTGTCAGGGAGCCGAAAGGGCCGGATCCTTGGCAGCCAGTTTGAGCTGCTGCACTTGCCATAGACCACCACCTTGGAACCTCCCCTAAATTGAGACAAAGGGTCCCAGACTTTCTGTTACTTGGTGCAGTTGCATTCCTTGTGGGTGCAGATGTCATCAGAGAGCACTCAGTGTTTTTGCTATAACCTTGGTGAGCACAGAGCACTGACCCGTCCACCCTGGCCCCAGCCAGCCTCCATCTGGATTCCTTTTCTCTCAGGCCTCCTCACCTCCTCCTCACTCCCTCTTGTCCTGGCCGCCCTGTGCTGATCCCCCAGGGCGACGACGCTGATCTCTGGGTCCCTCTTGGCTCTGCTGGGAGCCTCTCCCTGGCATCTCCTCTGCTCCCACCTTGGCTGCACTGTCAGTCCTGGTTGTGTGGAGAGGGGAGGCCCAAGCCCTGCTCTGCTCTGCCTCCTGGGGAGAGGCAGAGCTGAGAATGGAGAGAGTCAGAAGCCCCCTCCCTGCTCCAAGCAGCTTCCCTGCGGCACGCAGCCTTGCTCTCTGCCTTCCTTCTCTGCCTGGCCCAGGAACTGGGCTCCGTCTGCGCTACCCAGGGAAATGCCAGGCCTCGGGACAGCGAGTCTGGGGGAGTTGGCTGCAGGACCCGCCAGGACTCCCCCGCAGCCTCGCAGCCTCGCGGAAGCCCATGGGGCCAGGAGTGGGTCCCTCAGTACACTCAGGACGCCTTCTGGGGTTCGCTGCTGTGCATGAGTCTCCACTTTGGCCAGCGGTGGAGCCAACGGCTCTTGGAGGCTGGGCGGAGGCTCCAGACCTGCTCTCTGCAAGGTCCCTGGAAAGCCTCGCTGCCGGCCTCGGCCCTCCTGCTGCCTCTCTTCCTTCTGGCCAAGAGCAGAAACAAGTCCAGGCTTCAGTGGGAAGAGGTCAGGAATCCGGGGCCGCGAGGAAGGTGGGGACACAGAAGCCAGGGCCTTGCCAGGCGAGCTCTGAGCAGGGCAGTGGGTGGGTGCCACAGTCTGGAGTGTGCTCTGCGCTTGCTGGGCCAGGGCGTCCCTGGGCCACCTGCCACCCAGGGGCCTTGTGCCTAAGCAGCTGTTCAGAAGAAGGGTGAACATCCAAGCCTGGTGGCCATGCCTCTAATCCTAGTGGCTTGGGAGGCTGAGGCAGGAGGATTGCAAGTTTGAGGCCAGCCTTAGCAACTTAGCATGGTCCTAAGCAACTTAGCAAGACCCTGTCTCAAAATAAAAAATAGGAAAATTCTGGGAATGTGGCTCAGTGGTAGAACACCCCTGAGTTCAACCCACAGTGTCCTCCCATGAAGAAAAAGGGGGTGAACAGTGGCCTGTGAGCCCCGTTTGGAAAGACGTGTCTGCAAATCCAGCTGACAGCTCTGCCGGCCGTGGGAGTGCAGCCCCACGGCTGTTGGCTGTGACAAGCTTTCCCAGTCCTCCAGCGCCTGTGGAGAGTCCACTCTGCCTAGAGAATAAACCCACAAGCACTCGCGAGCCACCAAGAGAGGGGCCTGGTCTTCCCAGGGCCCAGCATGACCGTGACCCTTTAGTGCAGGGCGGAGGACCAGGTGCTCCTCCCCGCAGGGGTTGCTTGTGGGTAAACTCAGGTGCATATTCTTTCCGTTTGAGTATTTTGTGAATGGCTGAATCCTTTTTAATTCCCTTTCATTTCGAGCTTGGAAGAGACCTGCATCACCTTTCAATTTGGAGAGCTCATATTATTCACTATGGAAATCGAAAAGCTTTGCCAGATTGGAACTGAAATGTCAATTAATTGTCAATTCTTCACGCTGAGTAATTGATTAATTGGCACAGCGTTGATCTCTAAATCAGTGGTAATAAATTACCTGGTCCTTAATCTTGACCTTCAGAGTCTAAAACTCTTCCAATTGCCTCTGTCCCTGTGGGGATGACAGATGAGGCCGAGCTCCTCCCACGGTGTCTGCTGCTCCGAAACTTCCTGTGTCCTGGAGCCTGCAGAGCCTGCGCCAGCTCCCTGGCCCTGCCCGCCGTCAGGCAGGGGAGCAGGCGCTGCCCTGGAGCCAGACACTTCACCCAGTGTCCTGACGACCGTGGCGTCACGCAGAGCTAAGTTGAGAGGTGCCCGATTCGTGACGACATTTTGGCTGAGGCACGGAGCCCTCACTCCTCCTCCGTCCTGCGCGGCGCCGACTCCCGTGTCTTCCCCTGGCCTCCCCTCCTGGGCTCCCACCCTCCGTGGTAAGTGCTCACTCCAACCGAGGCCTGGTCTTCACCTCTGTTCGCCTCTGGGGCTGGACTGGTGAGGACGGCCTGCTGCGCGGGCAGTTCTGCTCTCAGCCTGGGCCCTCCTGTGCCCCCGCTCCACTCTTCCCTGGAGGGGCAGCCGCGGTGCCCGGTGCCACCTTTCGGGAGTGTGAACCACCCGTCCTCCTGAAGCAGCGCTGGGCCTGGCCTCCCGAGCGAACTCTGCTCCACAGGAGCCCACGCTGGGGCTGTCGAGGGGCCGAACTTGGGCTCCTGCCGCAGGGCTGGCACCCACCAGGCCCCTGGGGAGGAGGGCACTGTCTGCAGCCAGGTGACTCGGCCCTCGGAGTGCACCTGTTCAGTCCTCTTCAGTCAGTTGCTCTGTGATGGTGAGAACCGAGATGAGCCCAGACACCAACGCGCCTCCTCAGCCCTGGCTAGCTCGCCAAGGCCCCGCCAAGGCCCCGCCAAGGCCCCGCCAAGGCCCCCGCCGCGGCTTCAGCCCTCCCCAGGGAGAACGCTGCTCCCTACTCCACAGGAAGGCTGCTTTGGCCCGTCAAAGCCACGCCTGGTTCGCGAGGGCAGAAATGGCTGCTCCGGCACCAAGGGGACGCTCTGTGTGTGTGTTTGGGTCACTGGGGAGCCACAGCAGGTCGTCACAGCCGTGGGGAGGTCTGCCCGGGAGGGTCACCTTCCCCTGCAGCAGAGCAAAGGGCTGTTCTGAGACGGGGGTGGGGGGTGGGGGGCGTGGGTGTGTGGAGAAGAGGACGTCTAGAGAACTGGCGTCATGTGCAGACTACAGCGGGTGGAACGGGGCGCGACGAGGCTTCTGGGAGTTCATGCCTTTCCTGGGGTCCAGAGAGGTCAGTGCAGGGAATGGACCTGGCCAGGCCCTCACAATGGGGTTTTCCTGTGGGCTGCTTCCCTGTGCTTGCCGCAGCTGACCTGGAGCAGCCTCCCTGCGTGGACCGGAGGGGTCCAGGCAGGCCACGTGAAGAGGGACGGGGCTGGCGCCGTGGAGAGCAGGGTACAGGCTGCCGATCCTCACACAGCCAGGCACCAACTCTCCGTGTGAATCTCCCCCGCAGTGGCCTTAGCAGCACCACGTTTGGGAGAGCAGGTCCCGACTGCACGGGACCGCGTCTGCCACTTCAGCTTGAAGTACCTCATCCAGGGCACGTGGGGGACATGAACACGGGTGGTGTAGGGTATGTTTTGGAAGTGCCCGTTTTTTGTGATACTGGGGGTTAAACCCCAGCTCTGCGTGTGCTGGGTAAGGGCTCCACCATGTACATGCACACATGTACATACATATCTACACACATGTGCACACACATACACTCATACATGCACATGTGCACATGTGCAAACCCACATGCACACATGTAAACATACCTACCTGCATGCTACATACATGCAAACATACGCATATGAACACATATGCAAACACATACACTCATACATGCATGTGTGAACACATTACATGCAGGTTCATGCATACATGCATACAAAAATACACATGTGCACACACATGCAAACATGCATGTACACCATATACCTGCAAACATGCATACACGCATGTATGCATGTATGCACATGCAAGCATACAAAAACCAACACACATGTGTCTATACATGTGTGAACACACATGTACTCCTACATGCACGTTCATGCATGCATTCATATATGCAGGCATACATGCACCTATGTGTACATGCATGTACACGTGCAGAGATGCACACATACATATATACACATACAGGCACACATGCAAACAGCCCTAGAAATATATACACATACTCACATTCCCTTACCATACACATAAGTACACAGATACTCAAATCTGCACCACACGTACCTGTATACACCACATGCACACACACCTACATATACACACCCACACCACACTTACACCTGCACACCCAACCACACCTACCTGTATACACTACATGCACACACACCTACATATACACACCCACACCCACGCTTACACCTGCACACACACCCACACCTATCTGTATACACCTACATATGTACACACACCTACATATACACACCCACACTCATGCTTACACCTGTACACCCACCCACACCTATCTGTATACACTACATGCACACACACCTACATATACACACCCACACCCACGTTTACACCTGCACACCCACCCACACCTATCTGTATACACCCACATATGCACACACACCTACATATACACACCCACAATCATGCTTACGCCTGCACACCCACTCACACCTACCTGTATACACCCATACATGCACACACACCTACATATACACACCCACACTCATGCTTACACCTGCACACCCACCCACACCTACCTGTATACACCCACATATGCACACACCTATATATACACACCCACACCCACACTTACTCCTGTACACCCACCCACACCTACCTGTATACACCCACATATGCACACACACCTACATATACACGCCCACACCCACGTTTACACCTGCACACCCACCCACACCTATCTGTATACACCACATACACACACCCCCATATACACAGTCACATTCACTTCCACCCCCCACCTGCACACACCCACAGGCATCCTCACATCTACGCACACACACTCACCCACACAGAGACGGGAAGCACATGTGGAGGGATCCAGGCCAGGACGCAGAACGTGTTGGTTCTCTCTGCTCAGTTCTGGAAATCTGAGCACTTTTACAAGAAGAGCTGGGAGCGTACGACACTGCATCAGTTTTAGGAAGCCCAGTTTGTGGCCTGGGTTTGGAGTTTGCACTCAGGCTCTCTCTGGAGTCACTGGTTTGCCACACCCTCTTCCTTTTATGGTGCTGGGGACTGAACCCAGAAACGTCAACATGCAAGCTCCACCACTGAGCCACCTCCCGGCATTGTTATTCTAAATTCGAGACAGGGCCTTGCTAAGTTGCCCAGGCTGGCCTGGGTCACAGGTGTGTGCCACCGTGCCTATCTGGTCACTAGAACTTTTAAAAATGCTTAGGAGTAACCCAGGAGTGGGGGTGCATTCCTGTAATCCAGAGACCCAGGAGGCTGAGGCAGGAGGATCGCCAGTCAGAGGCCACCTTCGACAACTTATCGAGGTCCTGTCTCAAAATTAAAGGAGCTGGGGGTGCAGCTCAGTGGTAGAGTGCCACAGTCTGTCTGGGCACAATTCAGGAGC